ACTGGAGTGGTTGTTGGTGTGTGGTACTGGTGTGGTTGTTGGTGTGGGTACTAGGTGTCGTTGTTGCACGTACAAGGATACTGGTGTGGTTGTTGGTGTGGGTACTAGACTGGGTTGTTGGGGTGGGTACTAGTGTCAGTTGTTGGCTGGATAAAAACTGAGTGTGGTTGTTGGCGTGGGTATGGATAAAGTTGTTGAGTGTGGGTACAGGAGTGGCACCAGGGCACGCACAGGATACCCACGAACCTTTATTGTCCCTGAGATGGATAAGAAGGTGAGTGCCGTGACAGGAGACATTACAGCAAGACACAGTCTGGAGGAGCAGCGACGCCGGAGCCAGGAGGTAAACAAACCCCTCCCGACCTTCCAGGTGTAGCGTCAAGCTCGTCCCTCTAATAGAACGTCGCATTTTTGACGTATACTCTCCCTAAGGCCAAAAATTGTTGTAATAATACTAGAAAATACTAGAAAATAGTAGCGGCTGGCGAAATTGACACACTTTCCAGTTTTCTCTTTCGGGTCCTCTGGTCGGTTAGGATAAGGGCACTTCAGTACGACTGTTTCTTGATATTGAGAACCTTATGAGGACGGGCTGTATATACATCGAGAAGTATATCTCATTTTAAAGTTTATGTACACTGATAGTTTACTTCAGTCCAGGGACTGTTTAAATGTATATATCAACAGTATTTTATAGGACTCGTGTGGCCCACCCTCCCAACACACGCCTCGCCATGGTAGATCCAAGTCTCATTTTCTGAATATTATTTTTGCTTTTGAAGACAATTCAGCAAGGAACAGGTGATATTGATGCAAAGATAACTATTAATCTTGTTTAAATTACCAATCAAGCTGTCAATGTAATCAATCAGAGCTTTAATATACCAATGTGCTTTAATATACTTACTAATCTCTCTCATCTCATTTTTTTCTTGCAATGTATCTGTTATCATTTTATTAATTCTGCTAGAATTTACCTACTTAAAATTATCTGTTAGATTAAGGACCTGCCCGAAACGCTGCGCGTACTAGTGACTTTACAAGATTATAAATACTATGCTATGTATTCTCTCTAACCCAATGTACCTTCTCGGCTATCACCTCATTTTGTCCGGTCGTAATGGTCAAGTGGATTAAGGCGTCTTGTACATACCAGTTGCGTTGCTCCTGGGATTATGGGTTCGAGTCACTTCTGGGGTGTGAGTTTTCAGTTGCATATTGTCCTGGGGACCATTCAGGCTTGTTCGCATTTGTGTTCCTCACGTGTGCCCCAAAGAATGAGGTGATTTGGTAAAATGCTATGCCCAAGATTACTATCCGAGTGCCGGCGGTGGGGTGGTTCATATAGCCTCGGCTATCACCTCATTTTGTCCGGTCGTGATGGTCAAGTGGATTAAGGCGTCTTGTACATACCAGTTGCGTTGCTCCTGGAGTATGGGTTCGAGTCACTTCTGGGGTGTGAGTTTTCAGTTATATATATATATATATATATATATATATATATATATATATATATATATATATATATATATATAGATATAATAGGCTATTATATATAATATATATAATAGAAAATATAATATTTTCAGTTGCCTATTGGCTTGAGGACCATTCAAGCTTGTTCACATTATATATATATATATATATATATATATATCTATATATATATATATATATATATATATAGATAATATATATATATATATTATATATATATATATACACACACACACACAAACATATATATATACACACACACACACACTGTGTATATATATATATATATATATACACCAGGAGTGGTTTGTCACAGTATGTTACTGGAGTGGTTGTCACAGTAGTTACTGGAGTGGTTGTCCACAGTAGTTACTGGAGTGGTTTTGTCACAGTAGTTTACTGGAGTGGTTATCACAGTAGTTACTGGAGTGGTTGTCACAGTAGTTACTGGAGTGGTTATCACAGTAGTTACTGGAGTGGTTGTCACAGTAGTTACTGGAGTGGTTGTCACAGTAGTTACTGGAGTGGTTATCACAGTAGTTACTGGAGTGGTTGTCACAGTAGTTACTGGAGTGGTTATCACAGTAGTTACTGGAGTGGTTGTCACAGTAGTTACTGGAGTGGTTGTCACAGTAGTTACTGGAGTGGTTGTTGGGGCAGTTACTGTTGGTGACAGTGTCGTTACATTACCTTGTAATGTTCCGAGGATCAACGTCCCCGCGGCCCGGTCTCTGACTAGGCCTGTTGGACGAGATGCTGATGAATGTCAGGAGTTAGGCCTGGTAGGCTTATGGGGGGTCTCCCTAGGCTAGTGGGCTCCCCCCCCCCTCCCCCCCCATCCCCCCCTCCCCCCCTCCCCCCCCTCCCCCCCCCTCCCCCCCCTCCCCCCCCCCCAGGATGTAACCCCCACAACAATGGCCTGATTCCCAGGTACCTATATACTGCTAGGTGAACAGAATCATCTGATGAAAGGAAACACCAAACTTGACGAATAAAATACTAGCCTTTAGAAAGCTAAGCAATGATTCGCCAAGAGCACAAACACAGGTACGTCAGACCAGTCCTGGAATATGCAGCACCAGCGTCATATTCCGGTCTTAAGACTTACCAGAAGAGAAAAGGTCCAGAGACTGTCATCGAGACTGTAGCCAGAGGGAAGAGGGAGAGTTATGTCAGATTAAGTGAACTTTACTACATAGCACAAAGCCCAGAGGTGATATGATCTCAACGTATAAGATACCGAGTGTAATCGATGGGGTTCTGTAGTCTTTGCAGATGAAGGAGATGAGAGCGAGAAGATATAGGTTATTGAATGAGTCGGAGTATGGTGATTACAAGCGTGATCACGCTTGTGGGTTAATGACTATTGGGTGTGGCCAGCAACTGGTTTGGAGACCGCATGGAGAGCCTGCTGATTGGTTAGGGTGACCTCGATAAACCGGACAGGGTTCCTGTCCCCCAATAATTGCAAACTATACCACGGTATTTCAACGTTATGAAGTGATACGATAGCTTGGAGGCGGGGCACCGGAGCTAGACCCTACGCCTCGTAAACACTAGTAAGTATAGTTAGGTAAACCCAGACTAAAGCTCAGTTATATAACAAAACATGCGCTTGTTTACCTAAAATGCTCACTATAACTAACTTCTTATTTCACCTGTAAAATTTGTGAAGTTTCTGCAGGACTCGCTATGCGTGTTAGTGGCCTTGTAAGACTGTCAACACACCGGTGTTCTCTACTCTCACAAACACAATGTTCCTGCAGGACTCGCTATGCGTGTTAGTGGCCTTGTAAGACTGTCAACACACCGGTGTTCTCTACTCGCACAAACACAATGTTCCTGCAGGACTCGCTATGCGTGGTAGTGGCCTTGTAAGACTGTCAACACACCGGTGTTCTCTACTCTCACAAACACAATGTTCCTGCAGGACTCGCTATGCGTGTTAGTGGCCTTGTAAGACTGTCAACACACCAGTGTTCTCTACTCTCACAAACACAATGTTCCTGCAGGACTCGCTATGCGTGTTAGTGGCCTTGTAAGACTGTCAACACACCGGTGTTCTCTACTCGCACAAACACAATGTTCCTGCAGGACTCGCTATGCGTGTTAGTGGCCTTGTAAGACTGTCAACACACCAGTGTTCTCTACTCTCACAAAACACAATGTTCCTGCAGGAACTCGCTATGCGTGTTAGTGGCCTTGTAAGACTGTCAACACACCGGTGTTCTCTACTCTCACAAACACAATGTTCCTGCAGGACTCGCTATGCGTGTTAGTGGCCTTGTAAGACTGTCAACACACCGGTGTTCTCTACTCTCACAAACACAATGTTTCTGCAGGACTCGCTATGCGTGTTAGTGGCTTTGTAGACTGTCAACACACCATGTTCTCTACTCTCACAAACACAATGTTCCTGCAGGACTCGCTATGCGTGTTAGTGGCTTTTAAGACTGTAACAACACCATGTTCTCAACTCTCACAAACACATGTTCCTGCAGACTCGCTATGCGTGTTAGTGGCCTTGTAAGACTGTCAACACCCGGTGTTCTCTACTCTCACAAACACAATGTTCCTGCAGGACTCGCTATGCGTGTTAGTGGCTTTGTAAGACTGTCAACACCCGTGTTCTCTACTCTCACAAACACAATGTTCCTGCAGGACTCGCTATGCGTGTTAGTGGCCTTGTAAGACTGTCAACACACCGGTGTTCTCTACTCTCACAAACACAATGTTCCTGCAGGACTCGCTATGCGTGTTAGTGGCCTTGTAAGACTGTCAACACACCGGTGTTCTCTACTCTCACAAACACAATGTTCCTGCAGGACTCGCTATGCGTGTTAGTGGCTTTGTAAGACTGTCAACACACCGGTGTTCTCTACTCTCCCAACACAATGTTCCTGCAGGACTCGCTATGCGTGTTAGTGGCTTTGTAAGACTGTCAACACACCAGTTCTCTACTCTCACAAACACAATGTTCCTGCAGGACTCGCTATGCGTGTTAGTGGCTTTGTAAGACTGTCAACACACCAGTGTTCTCTACTCTCACAAACACAATGTTCCTGCAGGACTCGCTATGCGTGTTAGTGGCTTTGTAAGACTGTCAACACACCAGTGTTCTCTACTCTCACAAACACAATGTTCCTGCAGGACTCGCTATGCGTGTTAGTGGCCTTGTAAGACTGTCAACACACCGGTGTTCTCTACTCTCACAAACACAATGTTCCTGCAGGACTCGCTATGCGTGTTAGTGGCTTTGTAAGACTGTCAACACACCGGTGTTCTCTACTCTCACAAACACAATGTTCCTGCAGGACTCGCTATGCGTGTTAGTGGCTTTGTAAGACTGTCAACACACCAGTGTTCTCTACTCTCACAAACACAATGTTCCTGCAGGACTCGCTATGCGTGTTAGTGGCCTTGTAAGACTGTCAATACACCGGTGTTCTCTACTCTCACAAACACAATGTTCCTTCTTGTATATATATGAATAAACAAAATAAAAACACATTGACAATTACTACTTTAATTGCAGGCTTAAAGGAACACATTTTCTACGACATATTCCCTCAAACTCGGCCAAGGCGACGACGCTGAGGTGAGCAGTACTCTACGGTGACGTCCTCCATGTTGCTGTGGCTGCTACGGTGACGTCAACTGTGTCTCCTACGGTGAAGCCAACAGCAAACAGGACGATGATGTCAACAACATCCACGACGCTGAAGCCAACAGCAAACAGGACGATGATGTCAACAACATCCACGACGCTGAAGCCAACAGCAAACAGGACGATGATGTCAACAACATCCACGACGCTGAAGCCAACAGCAAACAGGACGATGATGTCAACAACATCCACGACGCTGAAGCCAACAGCAAACAGGACGATGATGTCAACAACATCCACGACGCTGAAGCCAACAGCAAACAGGACGATGATGTCAACAACATCCACGACGCTGAAGCCAACAGCAAACAGGACGATGATGTCAACAACATCCACGACGCTGAAGCCAACAACATACAGGACCCTGGAATCAACGGTGAGTGGAAGACCATCTTGTGTAAACAAAAGTTCCTGCCAAGACCCTCCCCGGGCGGTGGAGAACTCCGGGTACAAAGCTGCCACCTTTGTTCTGCTGGTGTTAGTGATGGTTGTGGTCGTGGCCGGTGTGTACCTGCTCAGGAAGCACCGGAGGACACTAGCGCGCATCACATCTTCCCTGAAGAAGGCTCACAAAGATGTGGAGGCCGCAGCCTCCCGGACCTGCGACGTGAACCCCGTCGCACGGAATGACATATCTCCTGAGATGGTCAGCATCGACTTCACCTTCTGTAGTGGCGTTTCCCGCACTCCTTCTCCTTATAGCCTGAAGTCTAGTTCCTTCGTCGTCTCACCCGTGGCTGCTCTTGGGTTAAGCTCCCGGTCCCCGCCGCCTCTCCCTCTCCATACACACCCCCAGGTACCTCCCACCAACAATCGTGTCTCGGCTCCCCCTCACGTGTTGACATATAAGATAGAGAAAGAGAGCCCGTATGACACTCTGCCAGCCCGCGCGGTCCCGGCCCTCGTGTTTACCAGCGCCCAGACCTCAGGCTCACCCCTTCCTCTAACCACTTCACCAAAGACATGGCAAGAGCCACCACGACAGTCTCTCACACTGAGAGACTCTGGCTGGGGGGATAGTGAGGATAACAGCGAGGTGAAACACTGTGGTCACGAACCACCGGAGTCACCGGACACCTCGCCCGGCCTCAGGAGACTCTCCATAACCAAAGTCCTGGCAGCGGCAGTGCAAGAAATGAAAGAAAAATCTCTCTTCACCCGAATGAGAGACCTGGTAGGGGCAGACAGCCCCGGCACCAGTAGGTGTCCCTCACGCAAGTGGCGCCACAGACTCAAACTGTCAGCTTCAAGAAACGCTTCTCTGGATAATGAAGAATTATCATCAAGAATGACCGTCTTCGACAAGGAAAAATTAGACTCAAGAAAGAATTTATTAGACAAGGAAGTCCCAGGCTCAGAGAACATTCCCGGGATAAGAATGTCTCTGGATCAAGAACAACTTTCCGTGAGATGGGACTCCCAGACTCGAGAAGGATGTCTTTTACAACAAGGAAGTCCCAGACCCAAGGAAGGTCTCCCGGGACAAGGAAGTCCCAGACCCAAGGAAGGCCTCCTGGGACAAGGAAGTCCCAGACCCAAGGAAGGTCTCCCGGGACAAGGAAGTCCCAGACCCAAGGAAGACCTCCCGGGACAAGGAAGTCTCAGACCCAAGGAAGGTCTCCCGGGACAAGGAAGTCCCAGACCCATGGAAGGTCTCCCGGGACAAGGAAGTCCCAGACCCAAGGAAGACCTCCCGGACAAGTAGTCTCAGACCCAAGGAAGGTCTCCCGGGACAAGGAAGTCCCAGACCCAAGGAAGGTCTCCCGGACAAGGAAGTCCCAGACCAAGGAAGGTCTCCCGGGACAGGAGTCCCAGACCCAAGGAAGGTCTCCCGGACAAGGAAGTCCCAGACCCAAGGAAGGTCTCCCGGGACAAGGAAGTCCCAGACCCAAGGAAGACCTCCCGGGACAAGGAAGTCCCAGACCCAAGGAAGGTCTCCCGGGACAAGGAAGTCCCAGACCCAAGGAAGGTCTCCCGGACAAGGAAGTCCCAGACCCAGGAACCTCCCGGACAAGGTCCCCAGACCCATGGAAGGTCTCCCGGGACAAGGAAGTCCCAGACCCAAGGAAGACCTCCCGGGACAAGGAAGTCTCAGACCCAAGGAAGGTCTCCCGGGACAAGGAAGTCCCAGACCCAAGGAAGGTCTCCCGGGACAAGGAAGTCCCAGACCCAAGGAAGGTCTCCCGGGACAAGGAAGTCCCAGACCCAAGGAAGGTCTCCCGGGACAAGGAAGTCCTAGACCCATGGAAGGTCTCCCGGGACAAGGAAGTCCCAGACCCAAGGAAGACCTCCCGGGACAAGGAAGTCTCAGACCCATGGAAGGTCTCCCGGGACAAGGAAGTCCCAGACCCATGGAAGGTCTCCCGGGACAAGGAAGTCCCAGACCCAAGGAAGACCTCCCGGGACATGTGTATATATAGACAGGCTGTATGCATGCATATATATATATCTATATATATATATTATATATATATTATATATATATTATAATATATATATATATATATAGATATATATATATATATATATATATATATATATATATATATATATATTATATATATACATGCTGCCTGTCCCCAACAACGGGAATTGCGCAACCTCACAAGGCTATCTTTTCCATGGCATAAATATGAATCTATTCTTTGTAGACACGGCCACCACGAGCCCAGACCATTCAGTAGCGCTAAGTATAGACACAGTCTTGTGATTCACACCGCGACAAACCCCAATTGTAACAAATTATTGCAAACAAAGTCATTTTTGGCCAGAATGTTGGCGTAATATATGTATATTCTCCTGAAAAATGTTTATATGTTCTCAGATTGTGTGTGGTGTGTGTGTGTGTGGTGTGTGTTTGTGGTGTGTGTGTGTGTGTGTGTGTGTGTGTGTGTGTGTGTGTGTGTGTGTGTGGTGTGGGTGTTTGTGTGGGTGTGTGTGTGTGGTGTGTGTGTGTGTGTGTGGGTGTGTTGGGTGGTTTTGTGTGTGTGTGTGTGTGTGTGTGTGGGTGTGTGGGTGTGTGTGTGTGGTTTGTGTGTGTGTGTGTGTGTGTGTGGTGTGTGTGTGGTGGTGTGTGTGTGTGTGTGTGTGTGGTGTGTGTGGTGTGTGTGTGTGTGGTGTGTGTGTATTCACAAATATTGTGTATGTGTGTATATGTTCCCAGATATTTTGTATGTGCGTATATGTTCCCCAAATATTGTGTGTGTGTGTGTGTATGTTCCAAGATATTGTGTATGTGTGTATATGTTCCCAGATATTCTGTATGTGTGTATATGTACACATATAATGTACTCACCTATTTGTGTTTGCGGGGGGTTGAGCTTTGGCTCTTTGGTCCCGCCTCTCAACTGTCAATCAACTGGTGTACAGGTTCCTGAGCCTACTGGGCTCTATCATATCTACATTGTAAACTGTGTATGGAGTCAGCCTCCACCACATCACTGCCTAATGCATCCCACCTGTTAACTACTCTGACACTGAAAAAGTTCTTTCTAACGTCACTGTGGCTCATCTGGGTACTCAGTTTCCACCTGTGTCCCCTTGTTCGCGTCCCACCAGTGTTGAATAGTTTATCCTTGTCTACCCGGTCGATTCTCCTGAGGATTTTGTAGGTAGTGATCCTGTCTCCCCTTACTCTTCTGTCTTCCAGTGTCGTAAGGTGCATTTCCCGCAGCCTTTCCTCGTAACTTATGCCTCTTAGTTCTGTGACTAGTCTAGTGGTATACCTTTGAACTTTTTCCAGCTTTGTCTTGTGCTTGAGAAAGGTACGGGCTCCATGCTGGAGCCGCATACTCCAGGATTGGTCTTACATATGTGGTGTACAAGATTCTGAAGGATTTCTTACACAGGTTCCTGAACGCTGTTCTAAGTTAGCCAACCTCGCATATGCCGCAGACGTTATTCTCTTTATGTGGGCTTCAGGAGACAGGTTTGGTGTGATATCAACTCCTAGATCTTTCTCTCTGCCCGTTTCATTAAGTACTTCATCTCCTATTTTGTATCCTGTGTCTGGCCTCCTATTTCCACTGCCTAGTTTCATTACTTTGCATTTACTCGGGTTGAACTTTAACAGTCATTTGATTGTGTATGTTTGTATATGTTCCCAGATATTGTGTATGTGTGTGTATATGTTCCCATATAGTGTGTATATGTTTCCATATATTGTGTGTATGTGTGAATATAGTCTATCCGAATCGCTATGCGTGTTAGTGGCTTTGCAAGAATTTAAGAACACCAATGTTATGTACTCTCACAAACGCAATAATTCTTGTGTAAAAATAAATAAATAAATATTCCAATATATTGTGTACTTGTATACGTATCCATAATTATTTGATATAAAAATGTATTATCAATTCACGTCACAAAATGTATAAATGCACATTCTTCCTTCTGCATTTATTCTTCAAGAGAGTTTAGTTAGTTTAGTTCATTTATTATGCACCCCATACCCATCTTGTGGGCGGTAGTGGAAAGGGTTACAGAGGCACATAATGGGCTCAGGGACTGAACCCCACAATTCATTTAGCTAAGCAAGTTACAATCTTGATGAGCTAGTTACAAAATTCAATATAAGTCGTCACATCAACAATGGGTTCGAGATCGACCTCAAGTACAGGTTCTAAATTAAGCAACTAACATATGTGGAGAGCTAGTGTCACAATTGATATGTTTGTCCTGCACACCGCCCCCCATCCAGTGGGCAGCGGTGGATAGGTTACAATCACTCAGTTACTACCTACAGTTAGCAAACTGGGGATATTTGGCTAAAATTTCTGGTAGCAGATCATTTTGAATGAAATATTTACACATCGTTGGAACATTGGTTATGTTACGGTGCCCTCTCCTATTTCTTTCGTTTGCCTGCTGTAAGAGTCATATCAGCTCTCCCAACTGATTCTCTGAGGTTCAGGGAGTCTATTGATATATGTGGCGACCAGACCGGCTGCCAGTTAAGGGAAGGAAGTTACATTATAAGTTGTAAGTAAGGGGAAATTGGCGCCCTGTTATAAAATGAAAGATTATCCCCTAATGCAGATATGACCTTTTGGAAGGGACACTAGCCGATCGCGGATTGGCCGACTTAGGTCGCGGGCGGCCAATCAGGGCCCGCCGTGACGTCACCGAGTGCCCCGGGCGGCGCCAACGTCAGAGTTGACCTGACCTCGGAAGCGAGAGGACGCGCCTCGGTCTGCTCTCAAGGATTAAAGGCTCTACAAGCCTTTCTTAGTGGATTAGTGCTGGCTATCGCAGCCCATCTGTTGTATTGGAGACCCCGCGCTTCTGGGAAGCAAAAAGGAACCAAGTTTATTGAGCGAAAGAGTGCCAAACTTGGAAAATATTCGGCGACGACGCTGGACGTTGAGGGCCTGAAAAGGTGTGGCGGGCAAGTCTAGCTGTGACCGGGTCACATCCACTGAGGGTTTTGGAAGGACGACACCGTGCCTAGGACAAGGAGCAACGCCTTGTGGAAGGGGCGAGTGTGGGAAAATAGTGATTAGCTCAGCGCCTATCGATGAACCAGGATTGGGGTAGCTGAATCTCAGGAATTGGAACGGCGACGACGCGAAGGCTCCACGACACCTGAGGACCTGTGGAACGTTCCTGGATCGTCGAGGATCGACTCAGGAAGCGTGGGAACCTCACACCATCGAGGGACAGGCGTCGTGAGCCAGGAATGTAAGGTAGATCATTTTCCCCCCCATTACCCCTTGTGTGAGTAGGCTAGTTAGGCCACAATATTTACTTATGTATGTGGCAATAGGACATTAATACTTTAGTAGTAGGATAGGCTGCAAGGCAGCTTGTGTCCAGGACTGTCAGAGGGGACAGTGTGTATGGATGGCAGGACAGTGAAGAAGAGGCGCCGACGTGGTGAAGAGGCCCTCCTGTGAGAGAGTGTGGGACTCCTGTCTTTCTGCCCAGTTGAAGGAGTGTTGGAGGTCGTGGAAGAAGAGGCTGACGATCTCCAGACTCATTATCCTTATTTCCATATTCATGTATTATTTGTGATTGTATGTGTGTTCATGTAATTTGCGTCAGTAAATTCACACATTTTATCATTGTGTTTGAGTGTGCCTCCATTTATAATATTTCTCTATGAGTATACACGAAGGTTATCATAGTACTTCCTAGGGAACACTACGTTCTCTATAGAAGTTCTTATTGCTTGGAGAGTGGTGAAGACAGCACAGACTTACATAAAAGTGTACCCTTAGCCATCCGATCAGTATCAGTGCCTGAATGGTGGCAACTAGTAACGTGGTGGCTAGAGAGAGGTAAAGCCACACAGACCTTCCTGGGAGAGTACCCTGGGCCGACAGTCTAGTAGCAGATCTATGGGAGTAGCAATCTTCTGGCTACAAACAATATATAATACACCCACTGAACTGCATTGCTGGGGTGCAGATATAATAACCCAGCTGGCGACCTTGTTAAGAAGAAGATAGAGAAGACAGGCGTGAAAGGAATTCCTGCAACCTTTTTGTCTGGCAGGCAAGATTCAGGGAGGTTATTGTTATAAGGTAAGCCTGAGTTTTCCTTCACTCCTCCACGGGTCTAGGCCGGAACTGTTAACAGCAGTTTCCCCGTGTTTGACTGAAGGGCTTCCAGGGTGAATCAGTGGCACCCCTTTTGTGGTGGAAGCAAAGACCTGCGGAGGTGGGCATTGTTGGTCCTCTCCTGTGTGACCAAGGAGACTCCGGT